CCCCCCCCAACGGTCCCCCCCCCCCCCCTTCACCACACTGCACAGCCACGAGGGTGACACCACTTCCTCTAGGAGAGTTAGCTGTTAGATTGAGAATCTCGTGGTGTCTTTAGGAGCTGAAATCCAGAGCAAATGTGCGTGGGGCAACGAATGTCCGACGTCTGGGCTGAATGTCGTGGAATGCAGGCCGGGGTGGACAATCCTCCGGTGACATGTCGAGTTTGGTGTAGGAACACACAAGCCACGTGGTCACAGAGTAAGCCACAGCAGCGTGCACGCCTTGTTTACTGAAAATGCCTGAGCAGACCCGTGATGTCACGCTGAGGGAATCCCTCTGCAAATCTCACAAGCCCAGACAAGGAAACCCTGCCCCGGCCTCACACAGGGAGGGGGAGGGGGGGGGGAGTCCCGGCCTCACACAGGGAGGGGGAGGCCTGCCTGGCCTCACACAGGGAGGAGGAGGGAGTCCCGGCCTCACACAGGGAGGGGGAGGCCTGCCTGGCCTCACACAGGGAGGAGGAGGGAGTCCCGGCCTCACACAGGGAGGGGGAGGCCTGCCTGGCCTCACACAGGGAGGAGGAGGGAGTCCCGGCCTCACACAGGGAGGGGGAGGCCTGCCTGGCCTCACACAGGGAGGAGGAGGGAGTCCCGGCCTCACACAGGGAGGGGGAACCTGCTCTGGCCTCACATAGGAGAAGGAATTTCCAGGAAAAGCACAACAGACCAAAACAAAGTGAGAGCCGGGCTGAGATTTCCGGCCCCCTCCCTCCACTGGGGATATCCTAGGCCGAGGCTCCCTATGCAGGTCATATGCCAGAAAGGGAAAGTTGTGATGTTTCCCGTAACAACCAGACATGTTTGCACCTAGAAAATGACAATTCATGAGAGATACGAGAAACTTTTATTATTCATCCTCAAACGACGCAACTTGTTCTTATAATAATAAAGACGTATGGTTGTACAGCAGGGGTCTCAACGCCGAGTGACTCGGGGGTCACTGGGCACATTTTCTTCTTCCATGGGGTGCCGCATGGGGAGGGACAATTGAGAGAGAGAGAGGAGAGACAGCCAGGAGAGAGAGGAGAGACTGCCAGGAGAGAGAGGAGAGACAGCCAGGTGAGAGAGGAGAGACAGCCAGGTGAGAGAGGAGAGACAGCCAGGTGAGAGAGGAGAGACTGCCAGGAGAGAGAGGAGAGACAGCCAGGTGAGAGAGGAGAGACAGCCAGGTGAGAGAGGAGAGACAGCCAGGTGAGAGAGGAGAGAC